TGGGCTGTGACCCGTTAACCATACCCCTATTTGTATGACTATATATATATATCTCTCTAGTATCTGAATAAATCAATAAATCAATGCTACAGTAACCGTGCTGCTACAGTGCCGCGCCGCTTGTTTTGTTCCTTCTTTTTCCATGGCCTTGAATAGGTGATTCGAGGCCACACATGACCCGATCCGGTCATCTACTACTGTCTATTTTTTTGATCTGCTCTTAGTCTATGTTTAAAGAACAGATCTCTACTACTGCCCTGATTATTTGACTACTATCTACCTACCACTATTGTGCAACAATGTCAGAAACAGATCTCTCCTCCTCTTCTACATCTCCCTCTGCTGCTGCTGGTCAGACTTCTGCGCCCAAGGTAGTCTTGGAGACTACAATAAAATTGAATGGTACAAACTATCTACTCTGGGCTCAGGCTTTCCGCATCTTCATTGGCGCTCAGAGCAAACTTCCACATCTTCTGGCCTCTCCTCCACCCACCACAGATCCCACCTACAGTTCCTGGCTCTCGTCTGATTATTGTGTTATGACGTGGCTCCTCAACAGCACGGAACCACAGATTAGTAGCAGTGTTATGTTCTTAACCACTGCGAAGGAGATGTGGGACAGCCTGAAGATTATGTACGGAAATGAGAAGAATGCTTCCCGTGTATTTGAGATTTATGAGCGACTGTTTACGCTCAAACAGGGAGATAGATCAGTTCCGGAGTTCTTTGGTGAGTTAAAGGGACTGATAGACGAACTGGAGATGCACGACGCTGTTGGGATATCGTCGTGACTTGGCAGTGTCCAAGTTTCTTTTTGGATTGCACCCTAACTTGCAGTCCCAGGTGAGAGGACAGATATTGGGTGGAGATATCATCCCCTCACTGACTGCTACATTCTCCAGAGTCATGCAGGTCTCTACTGGTGTTTCTTCTGATACTTCTGCACCGTCTCCACCTTCAGTGGATCAGTCTGACATGTTCTCTAGTAGAGGCAGAGGCTGCGGTCGTGGTCGTGGTCGTGATTCTTTGGGAGGACGTGGCTCTTTTAGTGGGAGACAGGGTGATTCTGATAGGGGTTCACGTCAGTGTGGTCATTGTGGGAGGACCAATCATATTTCTGAGAAATGCTGGGAGAAGTTTGGTCGTCCTCAATGGGCCCAAGTAGCCGATGCCGAGTCGACTCGCTCACCTATTTCTACTATTATTTCTAGTAATCCAGCTACTACTGTTCCTACTGTTCAGATTTCTCAGGCAGATTATGAGAGGTTACGCCAGCTAGAGATCTCTCAGAACAGTCATTCGGCTACCCATGCATCCTCTTCAGGTATGGATGCTTACATAGCTTCTCCTCATGAACCATGGGTACTAGATTCTGGAGCTTCATCCCATATGACAGGTATAAAGGATCGTTTTGTCTCTTTACATCTTTCTGATAAGCTTCCCTCTATTCGCATCGCTGATGGTACACTTTCTCCAGTTCTTGGTGCTGGAGTAGTTCATGCTACTTCCTCTTTGAAACTCACTGATGTGTTATATGCTCCTAAATTCCCTGTTAGCTTATTATCCATTAGCAAGTTTACAAAGCACAATAACTGTAAAGTCACATTCTTTCCTTCTTATTGTGTTTTTCAGGACCTAGCAACTGGGATGACGATTGGTTCGGGGCATGAGAGAGGAGGTATGTACTATTTGGACGATAGTGTGCCGGGTGCTGGTCTTGTTGCAGCACAGCCTGATTCTACCTTACTGTGGCACTGGCGTCTGGGTCATCCTTCACTACAGAAACTTAGATCGGTAGTTACTGTTCAGTCTTCCCTTTCTTCTTTAGGTTGTGAGTCATGTGAACTGGGTAAGCACCATCGTGCTTCTTTTCAGAGTCGTGTCGATAAACGCAGTAGTTTGCGTTTGAGTTAGTTCATTCTGATGTCTGGGGTCCTTGTCGTGTTCCCTCTGTGAAGGGTTTTCGATATTTCATTGTTTTTGTTGATGATTTCTCTCGCATGACTTGGCTATATTTGTTGAAAGAGAGGTCTGAAGTCTCGCATGTTATTAAACTTTTTTATAATGAAATAAAAACCCAGTTCTCTACTTCTGTTCATATTCTTCGTACTGATAATGCTTTGGAATATATGAAAAATGACGTTTCAAAATTTTGTGCTCTTAATGGTATTATTCATCAAACTTCATGCTCTCACACTTCACAACAAAATGGAGTTGCTGAGAGGAAGCATAGACATATTCTCGATGTTGCTAGAACACTGATGATACATATGAATATTCCAAAGTACTTGTGGTCGGATGCTGTCCTCACTGCCTGTTATTTGATTAATCGCATGCCTTCCTCTGTTCTTGATGGTTTGATACCATTCCACTATCTTTATCCTGCTAAAAAACGTTTTTCTGTGATTCCTCGAGTTTTTGGTTGTACGTGTTTTGTTCAGGATTTGACTGCTGGTTTGGATAAATTGTCTCCTAGGTCCATTAAGTGTGTGTTTGTTGGATACTCACGTACTCAAAAAGGGTATAGGTGCTATCATCCGACCACCAGGAGATATTTTGTTTCTGCTGATGTTACCTTTTTTGAGTCTGTCCCATATTTTTCCTCTGGTTCCACTACCTCTGTCAGTCCACAGGTGCCACTACCTTCTACGGCTCCCACTAGGCTACTGCACCAAAGCCTCTACTGACATACTCTCGCCGTCCTAAAGTACATACACCTGTCTCTGCTCCTGCTGACTCTTCTTCTCCAGCTGCAGGTCCATCTCATGTCGAGCCTCATATCTCTTCTGACTTAGATGTTCCTATTGCTCTTCGTAAAGGTAAACGGTCTTGCCCAAAATATCCTATCTCTCTTTTTGTCTCTTATGACCGTCTCACCTCATCATTTCGTCAGTTTGCTTTGTCATTGTCCACTATATCTTTACCCAGGTCACATGAGGAAGCTTTGTTAGTACCCGCCTGGAAACAGGCTATGGATGAGGAGATGAATGCACTGCTTTCTAGAGGGACTTGGGATTTGGTCTCTCTACCTGCTGGAGCGACTGTGGTTGGCTGCAGATGGGTGTATACCTTGAAATATCGTCCTGATGGGTTTGTTGATAGATATAAAGCTCGCCTGGTTGCTAAAGGATATACCCAGACATATGGTATTGACTATTTTGAAACCTTTTCTCCCGTTGCTCGTCTCAACTCCATCAGAATTCTTTTCTCTCTGGCTATTAATATGGATTGAGCGATGCACCAACTAGATGTGAAGAATGCTTTCCTTTATGGTGATTTGGACGAGGAGGTTTATATGGAGCAACCTCCTGGGTATGTTGCTCAGGGGTAGAATCTTATCTGCAGGCTGAGAAAGGCCATCTATGGGTTAAAGCAGAGTCCTCGAGCTTGGTTTGATAAGTTCAGCAAGGTTATTTCTAATGTTGGTTTCCAACGTTGTCAGTCTGATCACTCTGTCTTTCTTCGACGCACAACAACTGGTTTGGTTATTTTAGCCGTATATGTTGATGATATTCTGCTGACTGGGAGTGACTCTGTTGCCTTAGCTGAGACTAAGGAGTATCTAAACCGTCATTTTGTCACTAAGAACATGGGAAAGCCAAAGTATTTTCTTGGGATTGAAGTTGCATATAAAAAACATGGCCTGTTGTTGTCCCAAAGGAAGTATGTGCTAGATTTACTAGAAAAAACAGGTCTCTTGGAATGCAAACCTGCAAGTGGGAGACCGAAAGTCAACCTCAGGATTTTGTACTTTTGTTGGAGGTAATCTTGTGACTTGGAGAAGTAAGAAACAAGATGTAGTATCACTATCTAGTGCAGAGGCCGAATATAGAGCAATGCCTCACATTGCTTGTGAGATGGTGTGGCTAAGAAAGTTTATGACAGAGCTTGGTTTTGTTCAGTCTGGACCCATGCCAATGCATTGTGACAACCAGTCTGCCATTTATATTGCACAGAATCCTGTGTTTCATGAGAGGACAAAACATATTGAAGTTGACTGCAATTTTGTCAGAGATGCTTGGGAGAAGAAGATAGTATCTCTCACATTCACTCCGTCCTCACAACAACTTGCTGATATTCTTACCAAGGCTACTTCTTCAAAGGTGTTTTCTACTATATGTGACAAGCTGGGCATGGTGGATATTTATGCTCCAGCTTGAGGGGGAGTGTTAGATTAAGTCTATTGGGTATTGGGTTAATGGGCTGTGACCCGTTAACCATACCCCTATTTGTATGACTATATATATCTCTCTAGTATCTGAATAAATCAATGAAGTTAGGGTTTTTGCTCTCTCAATTATCTCTTTCTACAACCATTGTGTTATTAAACAGAAGATTAGGGCAACTTGTAAGATTGACGAAAATAACAAAATTTTCTCCTGCGGCGGCCGTGGACATAGCTTCTCATATCGAGAAGTGAACCACGTAAATCTTGTGTGTTTTGTGTGATTGTTTTCTCTCTCTTCTCTCTCATCTCTATTTCCAAATCGCATCAGGAGTTAGATAAATCCCTATTAGTTACAATATTTTTTGGGTAAATTTTAGAAAAAGCCCAAGAAGTTTAGCTCATTTTGAGATAACCCCTAGTAAGTTTGAAAATATTAGTTTACCCAAAACTTTAACATTTGTCTGAATCTAGCTTCAGATAACCCATAACTTTTGGGGGGTTATCTGAAAAGTTTTGGGGGTTAAGTGATATTCCAAACTTATTAGGGGTTATCTCAAAATGGACCAAATTTCTTGGGCATTTGTGAAATTTATCTAATATAAAATTATAACGTTCAACCCATCTTCAAAGTTCAAAGTTGTGGTTCAGTGGAAGGTACCTTTTTAACACGTGATTCAAATTGTTAGTTCAACTCATGCATGTGAAGTAGAGTGAACAAGAAACAGTAGAGAAATAATGAAATTATTTTCTCTTTGCCTTTAAGTAAATAAAGGGTCTTCAAGCTTACCTTGCAAATTGAAATGCATACATAAGTAGTAAATGAGAAACTTACGTGCAAGACGGTCTCATTAATGCTCATTCCTCCAGCAGAAACATTTTCCACAAACATCTTTTCCAGCTTTTTGTCCTTGGTAAATAAATAGGCAGCAAGAGGCTTTGTTCTCGAGTTTATGACACCAATACTATCTTCAATCTTGTCAACCTTAACAAATCAAATATGGAAAATGTCAAGTATAATTATAAAAGAAGGAAAATTCTAGTGTTACTGTGTGTTTGGGAGTTTCCTTAGGGAAGGGAAGGGAAGGGAAGGAAGGGGAAGGAAGGGGAAAAATTCTCCTTCCTTCCCTTACCCTCCATTACACCCCAATTTGGGGTGTAAAAATTTAGAGCAAATTTCCCCTCCATTCCCCTTCTCTACCCTCCAAAATGAAACTCCCAAACAAGGTTAAAATAAAATTTCCCTTCCCTTCCCCCTCTCTACCCTCCATCCAAACAGGTCATGAACGTTATCCGAGGTTCTCTTACAGTAATAATGGGAAGCAATGGACCAAATATCTCATCCTTCATAATCAGTGAATCTTCTGGAACATCTAACAGAAGTGTAGGAGCTATTCGTCTGCAATAATAACAAAATGAATATAAATTGCACATAAATTAGCACAAGCATAAAAGAACAAAATAAAATTACTTACAGGCGTTTTTCATCCCGTTTCCCTCCATATACAATCTTTCCAGAAACCAAATCGTCATCCAAGAGCTTTGATAAGCGTGCAAAATGGTTGGAATTCACGATTCGAGCTAGATCTGATGATTCCAAGGGTTCTTTACCATAGAACCTCTCTAGAGTAATTTTCATAGAATCCAACTGGTATAAATCAAAAAAGACTAATTAAGATAAGAATATAACCCCTGAACTTTGGGGGTTTATCACAACCACCATCCCCCACTCATACAGAACTTTGGGGGGTTTCTCATCAAAACCCATGAACTTTAGGGCGTCCAAGAAAACCCCCCTACACTTTCAGATATTCCCAAATACCCCCTAACAGTGTTAATGGATTGACAAGCACTTATTTCCTACACAATCAAAATAAAGTCTGGCGATACCATGAACACCGTTCAGGGTGCCATAGGGAAAATTTTAAAATTTTAGGGGGTTTCGTGAGACACCCTAAAGTTCAAGGGCATTTGGCAGGGGGGACGTTCACTGGGGCTTTGTGGAGAACCCCTAAAAGTTCACGGAGGTTTTGTGGATTTTACCCCAAATAAAAACATGACTAGCTTTAATGTACATTTACCAATTTTGGAGCAAGTGATTTTGTTGTTATGATATAATCTGGAGCTATACAAGCTTGACCGCTGGAGCATCCCCATTTCCCAACAGCAATTCTTTTAGTTGCAACCTTAAAAAGAAATGGCAAGCAAAAAATGAGCTTCGCAATTACCAATTTCCACTTAATTTCAATAAATTCGTCTATTGAAAAAATGGTTACTTTTAAGTCAACGTTTGAATCAACAACAACAGGAGATTTTCCTCCGAGCTCCAAGATTACTGGAGTTAGGTGCTTCGCTGCTGCAGCCATCACAATGCGGCCTACTCTTCCATTACCTGCACAGTTAGTTAAAGAAGCTCAATGCAAATTTAATAATACAAGGGAACTTACTTAAGAAAATTCAAACTTTAGGCACAATTCTATCTTTAGGCACATATAGCAACAAACAATTTCCCAAAGTATAGGAACAGTATTCTAATAAAACATGACTAACAAGCCTTACATGAACTATTTTGGCACTAATAATCCCAATGGGGAAAGAATAATAATATAAATGTGAATTGCAGGGAGACAGTCAGCAAAGCGCTCCATAGGCATTTAAGCCGTTAAAGCATATATAAATAGCCTATGAAGAAAGTTGCTCCAAAAGTGGATTTATTTATTTATTTATTGAGTTTAAGGTCCAGCAATGGGATATAGTTACCTAGCTATGACTCTTTGAAGAGTGAGAAAAATTATTTTTAATTTGTCAGCAATTTTTAAACAAACATCTGCATCTAGGATTCTAGTGCAGCTCTCTTTCTCATAAAGTTATCTGTAAACATGTAATCCGACCCATAAACCAAAGTACAAGCGCGAGAAGTCTTTGAGGATAAGATAGCATTTGTATTTCTATGAGAAGCTCCTCGGCACCCACGATTCCCAGTCGTAAGTCATCAGGATATCACGTGTAACAAATCCTTGTTAATATAATAAGTCATGGGTTTTAAGGAAGGCAGCTTACGTGCCAAAGTTTCTAACTACAATATGAAAAGTTAAGTCTAGTTTTGTCCCCTGATAATATATTATCAAATTCTGTAAGTTCCTCGTCTTAAAGATCTTGGATAAAATCGCAAGTCAATGATATATATTTGAGTTCAGTTCCAATTAACATTGATCATGGCATGCCAATAATAAGCACTATATGGGGGCTCAGTTTATGCTCTATATTCCCGGAAAACTGATGTTACAGATTGAAACTGTGGTTAGGAAATTTTACAAGGCAAGTAAATAGGTAAAACAATATAGTGAGTAATTTTATATATCCAGGGGATTAATGTAGAGTCCGATAAAATCAAAACTATAATGATAGTACTCAGTATGCGTTTATTACTTGATTATCCAAGGGCAAAGATAGTAAGTAAGAACCTGTATAAAATATTTTATCCCACTTTTGCTCTAAAAGTGCAGTTGTTTCTACCACAGCACCCTCGACAACTTTTATGCACAGGTCGTCTACATACTCGGGTAAAAGTCTGGCAAATAATGATGATGTTGCTGGAGCAATTTCTGATGGCTTTAGAACAACAGCATTACCAGCTGCAATAGCTCCAATTACTGGATCAATGGATAGCACTGCAAAAAGAAGAAGAAGTTGGATTAATACCATAAAAATAAATAAATATTCACAACTAAAATAAAACTATAATGATGAGGCATAACAATGTATTCTTAGAAAATATAGAGTTAAAGAGTTAAAAGTAACTTATGAAGAAAATAGAAATAGGGCATCTGTGCAAGTTCGCTTCTTTCAGAAATTGATGATGATTCCAAACTATCAATCATTTAATTGGGCATTTTGTTTTGAAATCAATGTCTATTTTCCAGCCACTAATAGAAAAGTATCAAGTCTATATCAGTATTCTATGTAGATTCTATCGGTGGATTAAGTATAATCTCCTCATATGGCTTCTACCCTCATCCTATGCATTTTGACATCCTTCATCACAGCCATAAAGCATAACTGTGGATTTCTTGAGCTAAATATTTGAAACATCAATTGAATCAATTCATAGAACGTTACAGGGTTAAATGCTTTTCTGCAGTTTTTTAAAATTTCAATAATCTGTACCAAATTCGCCTATCAGCACTTTACCTATGGATTCAGAAGTTATTTTAGAGTTAATTTGTGACCTTAAATGATGCGCAAAAGGATAAATGAGATACATACAAAAGGGATAGTTCCAAGCAGAGATGATCAACACAACACCAAAGGGCTCAGGAACAATATTTGCAGACGATGGAAAAGTTGCAGCTTGAGATCCCACCTACCGAAAACTCTTAACATTAGTAGTTGCAAAAAGTTAGCCAACTAGTATTACACATGAACACCATTTGCACTCCTCTTGCTTAAGAGCAAGCATAGATCCTTTCATACCTTTTTCGGTTTCATCCAACTTTTCAAATTTTTCATAGCAAACGTAACTGATTCTTTTGCCATTGAAATCTGCATTAGAGAATTAGGTCATTAAGCAAGCGAAAGTTCATACATAGGGAGAACAACTAATGTCATTCTTCAAGTATAAAACTCTTGTGCTAGGCTCAAAATTGGAACTAATGCGAAGTAAGATTTAAGCAGAACATTGCAAATTCTAGGGCTTATTACTTGAAGTAATGAGATCGTTCAGCTATTGCTGAATAAGCTATTTTTGACTTTAATATTCATATAGCAAAGACTAAACTCATAATAAGAAAACAATCAATAAACCAGTAAAGTTTTAAGTCAGAATATAGTTAGAGCTACTCCTCCCCTTTCTCAGATCAGAAGCAATACTAGTACCCAAAGACCCAGTTTAATAATTTCAATAGCTGCAAAATATAATAACAGTGGGATTCCAAGATGAAATATTATCAGTTCATCATAAATCATTATTAAAAAAATAAAACTGTAATAAGAATCAAACAATTAGTACTTGTCACCTGTTCAGTACCTAACATAACAAAGTATTGACTCGACAGATTCCAAATAGATATTTACAGCAACATATACTTCAAATAATTAAAAAAAAAAAAGCGACTTCTTATACTGCAATTAACATACTCCAACATATCAAATGTATCCATAAATGAGTAGAACTTATTAACTTCAAGCTTACTTCTCTATGGCAACAAAACCATAACTTAAACATGGAGATCAACAAACCCAGAAGAAATCAGAGAAGAATCATGATTAATCTAATATCATAAAATTCTGTCAATTTCTTCATAAAACAGTCTAAACATCTAATATCACGATCAACAAGTATTCTCCTTTATAACAAACCAAGCACTTAAATGATAAAATCTCAAAGACCAATATAAAAAATTAACTCAAAAACCCCCCAAAATATCACAGAAAAATCACTCTCCTGTTCCATTAAAACCCATAAATTGGGCTGAAAAGTGGTCTCAAAATTAACTCAAAACATCCACACAAATAATAATAATAATAATAATAATAATACAAACCTCATGAAGATAAGATTCCAACTGGGGCTTTGCAAGATCAGAATAAAGAGCTCCCATGATATCAGCCTCTTTCTCCTCCATCATCCTCAAGAGCCCCTTCAGCTGATTTGACCTCCACTGAAAAGACCTCGTCTTTCCAAGATTGAAGCTTTCCCTCAGCTCTCTCGTCAGCACCGCTGCGCTCTCGCCGTCGAAGGACGCCTGAGATTGGTCCTCTCTCTTGCCCACGTCCCCCATGGCCACAGAGGAGAAGGAAGAGGGTGAATCTGTAAATAGTGGAGAAGACAGTGGCTAGAATGTAAAAGAGGGGGGAGAGAAATGAGGATGGGGAGAAGAGTTGGAGGAGATATAAAGAGAGGGGCAAGAGGAGAACCCCAGCCGAACGACGCTATTTGGGGACGGAGAGAACCGAGTTACTTGTGCAAGGGTTTTGTCGACATTATCCACCGGAATCTTCAATTATTTCTCAATAGGGGCCTTTTTGGTCGGTCCAAAAATGCGAAGAAGAGAAGGCCGGAAAAAAAAATGAGATAAATAGGAGCGACAAGTGAGGTATCCCCTCCTATTGGATAATAAGTTAATCATCATGGGGAAAGTGAGGTGTCCCCCTCCTATTGAATAATGAGTTGGCCATCATTAATGATGGCCAACTCATTATCTAATAGGAAGGGGACACCTCACTTGTCCCCCCTATTGGTCCTATATTTTGGGTCCCTATAGCAAAGCTCTTTTGAGCCATGTAGGATTTGGAGCATATCTATTTTCCGCCTTGAGGAGCTCGAAATTGCAGAAAAACCTCTCGAGATTGTTGGATGTTGCCGTCGGAAACAGACAAGGAGCCGTCTGAGGTATTTCCTCGCTTTGGGCCACCGACCACGAGTTGGGTCGAGTGAGATATTCTCTTTAAATGTACTTCTTTTCTTAATTTTCAGAAATTTAAAATCTGGTTGGGTGTTCTTAGGTTATTAGGTTATGGGTTTTGTCAATGGTTCATTTGACGGATGAAACGGTTGTTAAGGAGGTTTTTGCGTGTTCTCAGCTTATTATGCAGCATGGATTTCATCTTCTGGTTAATTTTAGGGGTGAGGCTTGGTTATTTTCTTAGTGGTTCGCTATTATAAGGGGTGGAAAACTCAGAAAACCCCTCCACGTCAGATTTTTAGCTCTCCACGTTAGTTTTTTTGTTTCCGTCCATTTCTTTGTGCCGCTTTGATTCGCTCGGATGGAAGAGGAAAAACTCTGCTGAAATCGCCGCCAACTCAGATTTTTTTTCCCTCTCCGATTTCCTTCCCCAACCGAGTGAAATTGATAAAAACTCTGCCACGTCAGATTTTTTTCTTCTCTGCTTTGTTTACAAAAGTTTTCCTTTTTTTCTATGCGAACCAACCACAAGAAAAATAAATACATTGGTTTCTCACCATTTTTTATGTGCGAACCAAAGCAAAACAATCTATTTCTTGGAAAAGTTTGAAAAACTCAAAACTTGTATTTATTTACATGGAATTATATTTCCCTATATCAAGGAAACGAACCAAACAGCCCCTTAAATAAGTCCTGTGAAGTCTCGAGGGTATGCTAATTTGGTAAATAATTTTCATTAAAGTCCCTAAACCTCTCAAATATTGCTATTAGTTAGTCAATTAATAGAAACTTACAGAAATTCCCTCAAATCCTTTAAAATTTTGCAAATTACTTCATCAAACTTAAAATGAGTCTCTCAAATCTTTTCAGGTTTGAAATTACTCCATTAAATGTCCATAGTTAGTTGAAATTAGTCCCTCAGATCTCTAAATATTTTACAAATTACTACCTTAAATTCTTTTTATTAGTCCCTCACATCTTTAATCACTTTGAAATTCCTTCCTCAAATGTTCATATTTTGAATTTAGTCCCTCAAATCGGTTCATAAAAACTTAAAATTAGTCTCTCCAATATTTAAGGATTTGGAATTACTCCCTTAAATGTTCATAATTAGTTAAAATTAGTCCTCCAAAATTTTAAACATTTTTCAAATTACTACCTTAATTTAAATTTAGTCCCTCGGAATTTTAAACGTTTTAAAATTCCTCCCTCAAGTATTTTTGTTTTGGAATTAGTCCCTCAAATGGTTGGTATTCTCACCTCACTTATGTTTGGCAATAATTTTGTCATATTTTGGTGATAAGCACACCATGGTGACCATAAATCATTGGTTCCTCTTTTTTTAATTTGAACCAAACACTAGAAAAATGAGGGAATATATTCGCACATCAACTATTTTCTTCTCTTTTTAAATTGAACCAAACTAATGAAAGTGATAGAAATTAAATATTCTCAATGTTTTTTTTAACTAAACAAACGCGAAATAAGCTTTTCCATGAAAATGAGGGAAACACCAAAAAAGTAAAGGGAAAGCATTTTTATAATGTGATGGAAAGCAACCAATAGCCCCTTAGGGGCTGTTTATTTTGAGTTTTTTGCCTCGGGGAGGGGGTGGAAAGCTGCCACCCTTAGTCCTTTGAATCTTTAAAGCGCTTGTACCCCACCTCAAATCCCATGGGTTTTTGCAAATTGGTCTCTTAAGGTAGGAAAATGATAATTGTGCTGCAAGTTTGGAAATTTTATAGAACAAATGTGACTCACTGTGGAGCACACTCTTTTATTTGTGTTAGCACAAAAATAATATAGATTGTTTGGTACAGTTATAATTACTTTTTAAGTTAACTGATGTCAGATCTGAAGGGAATATGTCTCAATCTAATGTTTTTGATGGAAGGAGTTATACTGGCCATGTAGTTTGACTTATCTATTGCTTAACGGGTTTAAAACCCAAATTCTGCTAACTACAACTTCAAAACCTACTAAAATCATCTTCTTCGATGTCAAAATTCCCTCATAACCCATTTCTATGCTTCCTCAATGGTTATTTTTGAGCTACCTTACTTGAGAAGTATTTTGGAAATTGAGGGTTTGGGTTTAGGACTTAATCCAACTATAGGCTCGAATCAAATTAAGAGACTAACAGGAACTGACTTGTGAAACCTCTTAAGATTTGACGTGCATCTGAGCAATTTCAACGATTTGATGGACTAATTAATATGGAATTATTGAAGATGGGGACTAATATGTTTTATTTTTGGGTTTTTCAGATATTGGTCACTTAAAATCTTTCATACTTTCAAATTAGACCCTTAAATCATTGAATTATTAGTCAGCCCCCACTTCTGATAAGTTACTCAAAGCTATAGTTTTCGACATTTGTCCAACTTATTTTGTGGTTGCTCAAGGGCCATGGCCCCACCGGTTGTGGAAATTTTAAAATGCATCATGCGCCTGCATAATTATATCCCTTTAAGAATGTCAATTCTTTGGAATTCTTGTTTGGCTGTAGAGATACTGAAAACTTTCTAGATCATAATTATTTTGTTATATTTAGAATAATATAATTTATTTTAAATAGAATTAGCGGTGTGTCTCCACAAATTCATTTATTCTTACTTTTCACTGAAAACAAATCACATTGTCCAGTACATAATTAAAGATTTTGATTGAGGGAAGTTGCATTCTTTGGTGTCTATTCATATTGGATGATTTGAACGTATCCCTCGCCTGAAATGATATAATGAGAAGTACAAAGAGTGGGTCAAAGTGACAACTTTCTGGACTTTGTCAAAAACATCTTCTTCTTCTTCCATTTTTTTTATTTGCTTTTTTTTTTTTTTGCCCTTTTTCCAATCCTCAATGACTTTTCTTCTCAATATTTTGGCTATTTGTTAAGGCACTCGGAACATTCAAAACACTTCTAGTTCCTTAATAAGCTATATTCTTTATTATAATGCATCGATCAGGATTAAAAACATTCACTCCGAGCCAATCCTCTTGTTTTAATCACTTCTAGCGATGGAAACAACTTAAAGATTGCTCTTTTACTACCTTCTCAACACGGGGTTAATTTCTGATAAACTCCCTATGCTATAGCCATATTGTAGATAGACACACTGTTGCTCAACCAATGCAGATAGTCCCCTTGAGTTGACTCAAGGAATCTATATGCACAAATAGAACTACATGGGTTATCTACAACTGCTAGCAATACATGCATTCTGCACGCATATCATCTCCACTACCAATAGTAGTACTTATTACTATAACTATTATTTGTTAATGGATGATTATGATTTATTCTAAATATAAGATTTACCATACATCATTAATTGTGTTCATTTTTTAAATTTGGACTCAAAAACAAGTCATCGCCATCTATTTAAACAATCAATGGTTATAATTAAGAAGGAATAATAGTAGGGTTCTCTCCAATCATATAGTAGAGTTCTATCCAATCACTTCGTTTTTCCAAAATAGTTTTTTGTTGGAAAGCTCTCTATGCATCCAAGTCTTAACAACTCAATATTTATTTAGATATTTAGATAGATAATAAGATTGATGTTATGATCTCATCTCAACTAGGAAACTAAGGAAAGGGCGTTGTTTTTTGGTCCCACGTTTTTGCGAATGTGCGGGAGTGCACCTAGTAAGGACTGAAACGTTTTGTCCCCATTATGAATATTCAAATATTTTACTTTACCATTAAAGTGAATCAAATGAATATTTATGAATGTGTCATGATTTTGTCCTTCCTAATTACCGTCTTCAGTCAATTTGGTCAGCCTTTGCTTTGAATGCAAGAACAGGGTCTTTTATTGGCATGGTGTAAATGGGAAACACTAGAGGCACACCCTTAAACCACACTCCCAATCATATCCCTCTTCTAGCTACAGTGTTTTTGGGGCCCACATGCTTTATTTAAAAAACCTAAAAATACTGTAGCTGGGAGAGGGATGTGGTTGGGAGTGTGGTTTAAGGGTGTGCCTCTAGTGTTTCCCGTGTAAAATTTGCATCACTTATATTTTATTTCACTAGTATAATGCGCCATGTGTTTTGCACGAGAACATATATGTTTTTAATTTTTAAATTTTTTATTAAATAGTAAAGCTATGTGTTAATAAATAAAATTATATAATAAGATTGTTTGAAAAGAAATATAATTTGTTGAAGTAATAATAAGGCAAGATGCCCTTATTTTGGTAGAAAGTTGGTTCCTTTGTTAGTGGACTCATTACCATTTCAGTCGTTACAATAAACTCAACAAAAATAAAAACAAAAGATTATAACTCTCTTAAAACACACACAACAGACATTTGTCACCCGCTGTTTGCGTGAGATCTTTGCCAGTGCCGGGGTTTATCCGTGGATCACCAACTGATCAGATCCAATATAGATTTCGTTGCCTCGCAAAGGAGACAAGAAACTGAAGTAATTATCTCGGCAAAGCGAGATAATCACTCTTCTCGAGAATTGCAGCTAGGTACAATCTCAAGAAAATGGATGAACGGATGTAGATCTCTCGAACTCTTCCTCTTTATGCTGAATAGCTCGCCGAGATCTCTTTCTCCTCTCTGAAATTTGT